TATGCACAAGGTCGTTGCAAGTCAATCTAGTAGTGAGTGCTACTATTGGAACGTCAGTAGTTCTCGCGTAAGTCGTACACAACAGGTCCCAGTTTGTAGTATTTACCAACCTCCCCACGGGCTAGGATATGTAACAAGACTGAATTTAATGCACGGAAATCCGAGACAGTAGGCTAGGCCAAAAATTCCTCGTAACCCCGTTAAACAGGTTCGGGTCTCTCTACCTCACCGGGCGAGATTCTGCCCTTCGGCATAACTTCATCCGGGTTCCTCTCTCCTCGAAGGTAGAGACTTCGACAGCACAGCTGTAACAGATTCCAGTTATTCAATATTTTCTAGCCACCACCCCTCGAGGAAGGTAGATGTGGTACAAGGCCGAGTTTAACGTGGGACGTCCGAGCCCGTAGGCTCGCTTAAAAATTTCCCATAGAACCGCATAAACAGGTTCGGGTCTGTCTACCTCCCTGAGACGAGACTCTGCCCTTCAGCATAACCTCGTTGGGGATGCTCTCTGCTCGGAGGCAGAAAGTTAGGCTAGCACAACTTACCGATACTTATAGTTTGTTATAGGTTATTCTATTACATCACTTCCCTTATTGATTTATCAGACTAAATGGTCTTAGTTTTGTGTTCAAGTCTCTGGCAGCCATTGTTATTTCTTGTTAACCTTATTTGTATTCCCAGACGAACTAGTCTTATTTATAGATGTTTATTTCCAATTCTAGTTTTACCTTTTTGGTTCTTAATAAACCTGACGATACACGGAGCTCCGCTTTCGTCAGTGTTTTAATTGCCTTAAAGCATTTAATTTGATTCTCTTCGTGACTACAAACGTGAATGACTCGGACGCATACTCTCGAGAGTAGAACAGTAAACAAATTTAGAAACTCTTTTATCATATCAAATAAATGTTCTGACATTTTTTGTCCAAAGCAGTAAAAATTATGTAAATAAATTAGCAGTTCACTTTGACAATATGTACGGAAAAATAGATCAACGTCACCTACAACTTACGCGACATTCGTGGATCAAAATCTCGTGGCTCACGAGATTTTGAAAACAGCATTTATTTTTCGGGGGTAACACTTTCAAAATTAACCCATTTCGTTGTTGTAGTACAAGTTGTGGAATCCCGTTGAAGAATAGAAAAAAAAAATGCGTAAATTTTAGTAATGTCACTGGAAACTCAATTTTTTTTCAAAATTCTACTCACACAGAAGTCGACTCTTTTTTGCGCATCATTTTGTAGGCTCCAGATTTGAATTTTTATATTCGTATCTATTAACCAATCATCGAAGTTATCACAAACGCGCTGTAGGTCTTTGGATTTTCAGATAATTAATATTTGTTGTCTGCAAAGACATTTTGAAGGCTCTTTCCAGAAAATGTTACATTATTTTACCTCCTTAAAATAGATATTTAAATTTGGGCAAAATATTTATTAATCAATAAACTTCTGGGTTTAATAAAATCTAGAATTGTAGTCATTCTCGGTCTTAAAAGCATTCGTATAAGTTCGCAAAAATTAGTTTTTTTCGTGAACCTTTCATCAGGGTTATTCGTTCGTTGTTATGCAAGCTGAAATTCTCAATCCTTAATTAATTACTTATATTTTCGCTTATTTATTCGAGTATATTATATTACGAAAAAGGCTTAACGATGATGAGTAAAGAGACACAAAAACATACGAACGAAATTATTGTCAACAGAGATTTTAGCAGTAGTATTAATGCAGCTATCGTTCACTTATTGGTGGAATCCTGTTAACAAAAATTACAAGCATACATAAAACAACGCAAATACGTGACACATACATTATCACATGTAGACGAATTATATTTTTTTAACATACGCAGTTGTTTCGGTATATTGTAAAGCAAGACAAACAAAAATATTTTTGTGTGAAATTGTTTCGCAAAGAATCTTTGTAATTCATTTATTTCAATGTGAAAGAAAACTAAAACTAAACAATAAAAATGTATATAAATTTGTAGAGTCGTTTTGAAGATTGTTTATTTCTTCGTTTTCCCACGCCTAAACCGCTACAGATGATTTGTTTTCTGCCAGTAACACTCAAAGGTAACATGAATAACATTAACTGACGATACTTTAAATTGACGCCATTTTTTCCAAATTTCTAAACTGTAGTTATAAACTATCATTTTGAAAAGTAAATCTTTCACTGAAATACGTTAGAAAAATTCCAAGTTTTCACCGTAAATCAAGAAAACAGAAGATTCAAGTAAACTGGTGATCATAAGTAAAAAGTAAACATCAGTTTAAACTAACGCCAGGAAGATATGATCCTAACTGATACCTTCCTTTTTTTCGCCTCAATCTAAACAATGTCCATAAAGTATAATTTTGGAGAGTGAAAATGTATCTAAAACACCTTGAATAATGTCCTAACTTTATCTGAAATTAAGAACTTTAAGCAAAATGGTTTCAACATAGGACAAAAGTATCTGTTTAACTTGACACCAGGAAAATATATATGTTAAAATGACACCTTGACTTTTTTGCACATAGATGGACAAAATTTATAAAGTATACTTTTGGAAAGGGAAAATCTAAGAATTAGGTTGGAAAATGTCCAAGTTTACATTTGAAATCAAGGAAATATGAACTTTGGTCACAATATATAAAAAAAGCGTATGCTTTATGTGACACCAGGAAGATATAAACGAAACTGGCGCCTTATTTCTTGTTTACGTCTAAACTATACATATAAACAATAATTTAAGAAAGTGACAATTTCGCTGAAATATATTGGAAAAATTCCAAATATTCATTTGAAATTAAGAAAAATCCGAACTTTAAGCAAAATCTTTACAATATATGGGACAAAAAGGAGACGCCATCTTAAATTGACACAATGAGGATTTGGTCTAAACTAACATCTTTGTTTTCCATTTTTCTACACTATAATTATAAACTATTTCACTGAATATTGTTTGGAAATTGCCAAGTATTTATTTGAAATTTTTAAAAAATATGAAGTTTAAAGAAAATAGTTACGATATTTGGGAAAAAAATGACATTTTATATTGACATCAGGAGGATTTAGTTTAAACTAAAGTCTATGTTTTCCATTTTTGTAAACTATAATTATAAATTATTTTACTGTATTATGTTTGAAAAATTGACAAGTATTCATTTGAAATTTTAAAAAATGAGTGCACTAAGCAAAATACTTACAATATATATACAAAATGGCGCCAGTTTAAATCTGTACCAGTTGGACAGGAGATTAATTGAAATTTACACTTTCCCTATATCTAAATTATGAACTATAATTTTTGGACTTGGAAATTTCATTGAAATATGTTAGAAAACTTCCAAATTTTCATTTGAAATGAAAGAAATACGAACATTAAGTTAAACTGACACAGTAAATGAAAGTAATTTTTAAACTATCGCTAGGAGGATATAATTTAAACAATATAGGAAGCAAAGTGCCAATAACTGTTATATTCTTTTTATCCGGTGACACATAAGGACGTAGGGGAACAATGTGTACTGCAGCCGCAGTGAAATAGGTGTTTCTTGGGCAAGATAGCCTGATGGAGCGCAAACAACTCCAGGGCAGTTTTGAAGTTTTTCTTCTAGACTGGTTACCATCCAAGGCAAAAGAATCCAGTCTGTCCTACTATTTACCCACAGCTGAGAAGAGAAGAAGATGATTCAAACCTTTCCCAAGGGTATAAGCACATAAATGAATGCAATGGATCCGACAGAATTCGAACTCGGCTCTCTGATTCCTCAATCCAAGCCCCTATCCATTATTCCACCGTTCTTGGCAAAGGAAATGTTCTGTGTATTTATTTTGATAATACAAAATTGCATTATTTTTAATTGTTCGTAGAAATGGACTCAAGTATTATAGCGAGCGAAGTCTTTGGATCTTGGTGAAAACCACACTTATTTGAATTAAGTGGACTGGCGCTACACAATCACAAGAAATGTACCAGATAAC